GAAATAGTGGAGTTGTGCACAAAGCTCAGAAAGCACAAGTTTGTTTAAAAATAAAAAATAGCACAGCCCCACCAAAAATATTTTTTACTAGCCGCCACTGCTGCCAGTTCATCCAATCTCAGCAGAATACAAATGAAAATAGTTAATGATCAAATTAACTATGTATAAGATAAATGACTAAATGTGTGCACCCATTAGTAAACATCTTAAAATATTGCAGCAAAAGGAAATAATAAACCAGCGTGTGGAAACATATTTAAATAATACCAACACTGAGAAATGGCTGGAGGAACCTCCACACATTGATACAAATTTAATAACACTTTTTATTGGTCGTTGTTGTGTCCTGTAAAGAAGACATGAGCTCTTCAGTTGGCTCGAGTATGGAGTTCATAAATGCCCAGGCTTATAACATTTTCACACAATTTTAGCCTAATTTTCATTGATGCTTACTAGACGTGTCCCTTTTGTATTTTAACAGAACTACTTTTTGCCATTGGAAGAATACGTGGGTCTTTTTCTTTGAAGATGCCGATTGTACATGTGAACGTTTTGGAGATGGACACAGAGACTTTGGGTATGAAACCTTCTGATGCACAGAGTGGATTTCAGATTCATCTGGAGATTGGAGCTCAATAAACAGCGTAAAGTTCCACCGTGCGTACGGCCATGCCCTTTAATCTCTCTGAAATCCGGGCCAACAACACAATTTTTTTGTCACTTCACCGCTTAAACTGCCTTTCAACCCCAACCTTAGCCACTTTCACCCTTCCACCTCGGTATTAGCAGGTTTAAGAATAGCACTGGGGTTAGAGCGGACCACCTTTTTACGACCATTCCTCACCCTCCAGAGCGATGCTAGCAGAGCAGCAGGGATGGCTAAAGCTCCGTTACTGCACCATATTTGCTTCCTAACCTCAGCCTCTTCCATTTATCCTCCATTGTTTCTGATTGATCTCTAAAACCTTCAGCAGTTTCAGTTACATCAGCCCATGGCTTCACATAGACACAGAAAGCTCCTCATGTTTCACAAACATAATTCTCTCTGATGGCTTCAACTGCTGGGAGATGCCATGTGCAATTTCAGTAATGCCTCACGCCTCCAACCCTTGTATTCTGTTGTGATTTATGATGCAGGATAGATTGTTATTTAACTTTACAGCACCGTCCGATGAAAGAAAGGAGCTTAAACATCAAACATGTGTGACAGAGGAGTAAAAAATAAAAATAAAAACAAAAAGATCTATCACTGTTGAGGTCAATGTGTGTCATAGAGATGATTATCTCACAAAATGGGAGAAATTTTAATTTTGTTGTATCTTTGTGTGATTCTGATGTGTATTTAATACATAAAATGTTTTAATTTTACGTTAATTTAAGATCAGCTTCATTGAAAAACATTATTTCTGTTTTTAATCAGTCACTCTGAGTTTTTCATGCAGCCAGCCTGAACATGAAAATTGTTTTCTAGCTATTTTTTTGGATTAGATTATGAAAACAGACGGTGAAATTCTAGTATTTCAAAATCCTGACAGATCTGCGTCACACTGTCACTTAACATTCATGGACTCACCCATCTTGGCTCATGGAGGGGAAGGCTGTGGTTGGTTTAGCGTCCAGGAAACAGCAGAGAATGTCTCAGCTAGTAGGAGCTAACCGTTAGCATTAGCAGCTCCACCACATAGCAGAACTCCTTCAGGCTTGTGTTATTTGTGGAGATAAAATAGTTGCAGAAGAAACAAAGTAATTTGTAAAGTCGTGTTGCTGTTATCCAATCAGAAGAAAAATGCCCAAATATCAGGGAAAATATTGCTGTGCCTTGTCCCTTCCTCCTCCGGTGTGACTTCTACGTTCTCAAACAGGCGCACCAGAGTTTTTTTTCCCCCAGAGAATGACTTAGAAGGCCCTCATCAGTACAAGAGATCTATTTTCTATCAGAAGCGAATGCCGGAGATAGGTGTAGGAGACTATTTTCATGTTCAGCCTGCATGAAAAACCGATTATAATCAGAAATAATCATTAAAAATGGGTTTTTAGTGTCCACTGGGCAGGGGCGGCGTTAGGCCCGGCTACTTGGGCTGAAGCCCCGGATCTTTCATGTTAAGCCCCGGATCTAAAACATGGAAGTAACATGCAGTACCAAAGTCCAACAGAGGGGGAGCAGCTGGCAGTAGTTTGTATACAGCCTGCCTGAGCCTCCACCACTGAAGAAGAAGCCCTTCAGCAGCCGGCTTCTTCTACACTCTCTGCCTGAAACGCATGAGTGAAGATGGACATAAGGACGTTTTTTAGACCAAAAGTACGGCGACAGAACCCCAGCTTTGATGAGACTGGTGCTGACTCAGGTTTGTGAGTCTTATTAGAAAATATTTGTTGTGCTGCTGGTTTGCCTAAAGTTAGCTTACTATCAGGTAAAGTTGTTGGAGAAAGAGCGGGAATATTTACTATCATCTCACACTAAACACTAACAGGAACAATACTCTGCCCTGAATATGCTTAATATGTAGCTTCAGATTAAAAATTATGTGGTACAAGACATATATATATATGTGATGTTGACTAGTGCGTGTCACATGTGTGCGCGTGCGCGCGTGTGTTAAGCCCCGTATCTTCTTCAGTCCTAAATCCGCCCCTGCCACTGGGTAAAGTTGACGTTTAAGCTTTATGGGTCCAGATCTGAATCTGCTGTAGAAAACTGTTTTCTCTATAATCAAGTAAACTATTTTCTCTCCGTCACTGTGACAACCACCATCATTACAGCCAGTTATTGTCCCGTTCTGTTTTAGAGCCAGCCTCTACCCAGGACATTTGGATCACTGAGCCGGGCCGGCGGGAGAACCGGAATGGCTCAAATGGGCCACGGCACAATGAGCCAGCTGCCAGCTTGCAGAGTGTTGGATTCAGAGTGAAGCTGATTACATCTACTGAATATGTGTTACACTGTTTAAAGGTTTAATTATTCTCAATTAAAATGTGTGGAAATGATAGTTTTATAAAAACCAGTTATTAATGGTGAGTTTGAATTTCCCTCTTCAAGTTTTCATTCTGTTTTTATACAGAAACAAACAGAATCTCTTGTCTTTGATGACTTTCACTGAAATTACTTTAAAAATAATTTTATACTGAACGAAGATAAGCTGCAGATGCACCGGAGGCTAATAAAACAATCAAATGTTTGTATTCTTGTAGATAATCTGTACTCCACTAACTGGAGCCGTGATTAAGATCTCTGACCTCTTCAATACAAATGTCAAAAACACACAACATTCACTGGTTCATGCATGAATACATGATTCATACATGGGATGCAAACATAAATTCTTGCGTCAATAACATGCATGACTTTTAAAAGTAATCAGGACTTTAGGCTCGTATTTATAATTTATGGTCCTCATTTTGGTCCTTTTATATTGAAATCCATCTTATATTATTCAAAGGTAAAAAACCGTATCAACATTTCATAAAAATTCATAATGATTCAGAGAATCATTTTATAATACTGAAATGTAGTTTGACTTAAAATGTATGAGCTATAAAATGAAAATAAATGACAAAACTGAAATAGATGTTTTTACTATAAAGACTTTTTTTGCAGTAATTAGTTTACTTTAGTTTACTTGTTTTAGGGATATTTCGGTATATTTTGCTTACCAGTAGGATTGGAAGAGGCCTTTATCTTTATTGTTAGTCCATCTGAACCTGTAGTTTTTCTGTGGGATGTTTTGTTTTCGTCTCTTTCTCATTCCCGTTAAATATCAGTTTTAAACTTGAGGGTTTTACTAGAATAATCCAGTCTGAACCATCGTAAACAGAACCTGCATCCCAAAAACAACATTAAAACATATTTATGTTCTCAGGTGTTTTCACTCAAATAAGCCTCAAACATTTTCTGCTTATCAATAATTCTTCTTCTTCTTTTTCCCAATTAAAGAAAAAAAAATCATTATCAAAGAGTCTTCCAGCAACAGCCCATGTGGTTAGTTAGTCAGACTAAACACAATAAAAATGCTAATTTTTCTTTCTCCTCATCTTTCAGACGTGAAATTTGGATTTCTTTGACACGAAAAGTGAACATTTTAGGATATTTTGATGAGTAATTTTCACATTTTTATAACAAAATTAAACAGTTATAGTTTTTATTTTAAACATGAAGTTTTAGTAAAAAACAAAAAAAAATCTATAATTTGCTCTTTTATTGTTAATATTCAGAGAAAAAGGAAACGTTTTTCATCAGTTGTTGACAGTGATGCTCAGTCTGGAGTTGATAAAGTGACTTTAAAATCTCTTGGCTGGACGTATTGATGTCTAAAGCACTTCAGCATTAACCCTGTCTCCTACAACACACACACACACACACACACACACACACACTGCACTTCCCTTTCCTGGTGGAGTGCAGGATGTGCGGCTGGAGAACTAAGCAGTTTTTCTCCTCCCTGCTGTTGCCAGGAATGCTTTATGAGCCATGGTAATATCAGCGTTCTCCTGATTCAATCAAGCCAGTCACTGCCTTGTGAAGTCATTACACTTGTGCAATGCCATGTGCTCTGGAGTCCTGCATTTCATCCCGGCGTTAGGGAAGTAGCCTAGCGAAAGCACGTGAGCCTCGGCATGCCAGCTCCTATAAATAGCCAACCAACGGAAACACTTCAGAAAAATGTGTTTGTCCTGATTCAAAGCAAACAGCTCTGGTCCGTTTGTCAGATTTTAAACTGATTCTGCACGCTCTGAGTGCTGCGGGGTAGGGATGCAAGGGAAGATGCTGAGATTGTAGTGAGGAGGGAGGAGGAAGTTGATATCAGGATATCAAAGCAAACAAAAACAAACAGAGACCTCACTGATAGCATCTCCTCCCTGTGTGTCGCTGTAGTGAGGAAGACCAATGAGCTGCAGGGGGAACTTGAATGAAGCATGAAGAACAAGCAAAAAGACAAGAGAAAACAAACAACAAAAACAAGAAGAACAAGGAGAGAAGGAAGTACTTTTATAAAAAGACGTACCTGCTCAGGAGTTGTTGTTGGTGGGACGGAGAAGTAGGGATAGTCAAAGGGTCCCGGGGTGGTTGGGGGGTCTTGGTTTGGGCTCAAAGCAGGGCTGGAGGGTGGTCCAGAAGAGGGGTGGAAGGATGGAGTGACAGGGAGATGGGAAGGCTAAAAGGGGCATAGTGAGCACCACTTGCCCCTCCCTCCCTCCCTCGCTTTCTCTCTTCTTCCTCCAATAAACACTCACGCTCCGACCCACTCGCTTGGAGGTAGACGCCAAAACCCAGAGTCACTCAGAGAACAGGCAGAGACAGACTCTTTACATTTACAAGCTCTGCCACGGGGGGAGGATAGAGTGGACTTCCCTCCCACTCTCTGCTAGCCAGCCAATGGATGGTGGCAAAGATGTGACCCATGAGCCAATAAGAGCAGCGGCAGCCGGTCCCTCACCCTGGCCAATAAGTGCAATAGCTCATATGCAGTTGGAATAATTACAGAATGAAGAAGAGCTTCCCTTCTGAAGGACACAGAGAGAGAGTTGCCAATGATTCTAGACCAGTAAAACCAGCTCTATGCCACTAAAACCAGACTGATGCAAAACAAGATGTTTGTGCTCTGGGATTAACAAAACCAACAAGAAACTTCATGTTGCAGAAACCTGGGGATGTATTTACTACAAGCAAACTTGAAGAACTGAGATCATATGAACAAATCAGAGAGTAGAATACGAGATCTAGAAAAGGATGGAGACACCATCTTTGATATTTGATCCATTTGTTCAGTTGCTTGTTAGCCTATCTCAAAGCAGTGATTTGATGCAGAAGAACGTGGCATGGTTATTGGTTGTTGGTGTCTGTTGGTCTTCTACCTGGATTTTCTCCCACAACCATCTCCAGGGTCCACAGAAGGCTGTGTGGATGAACACGTCTTTCTGAGGTAAGAGCTGACTGGTTCCAATAGGCACTGGTTCCTCTGCAGAAGCACAACATTTGGCTCCAGATGGACTCCCGCAGCAGAAGACAACACCAGGTGTGTCTCCTGTCAGATAAGAACAGGAATTCCCACAGGATCTGATGCATCTGAATTTCAGCTGTTGAGCCAGAATTTGGTGTCACTAAAGCCGGGCGTACACTGTGCGACTTTTTCACTTTTTTGAGCCGATTTTCTAGTCGTGCGAGAATCCACGACATCGGGGCGAGTTTTGCGCCGAGCGGTCGTGTAGTGTACAGGGGGTTACGAGAGGCGATTAACACCACGTGACCAGCCGCCGATCAGCAGTTGTGAGGTCGCAGGGACTTCTGGTGTGTTTAATATTTTGCTCGTCCCTCGTGAGGGTATCGCACTGTTGAAGCGGCGCTGCGAGCAGCTGCGACCCAAAAAGTATCAGAACCGCTCACGGCGCATGCGCGCGCAATCCTGCATCAACACCGGCCGCTCGCTATTTCCCTAATAACACACGCTGTTCGTTTTTGTTTCTACACGTTTTTTTACTCACAAAGATTGTCAAGAAAGCGTGTTTGTCGTGTTCATGTCAAATTAAACTGATCACAAAACACAGATTTACTTTCTTTATTTCGTTTTCCTCATCCAACCCCCATAAATCCCTGTGTGCCCTGCTGCAGCACTCCCGAAGGACAACAGGCAAGACAAGACAAAAAAGTCTGACGTGTTGAGTAAAAACTGCTATTTTTAGCACATTTTTAGGGTCGACGTGTTGCTACCAGACGTGCAGTGTGAGCAGTCAGGTCGCATGCGAGAACTGGGTCGTGCAGTGTGAGCGCCTGGCTCGTGAGATCTGTCCTGCGAGGAAGTCGTACAGTTTGAGCTGAAGCTCAGTGCTACGAGTGAAAAAGTCGCACAGTGTACGCCCGGCTTAACATGAAGACAATGATTCTTCCTGCCTTGTGTCAACGCTTTATGCTTCTGCCTGGTTCAAACACCACATACCTGTGTAGCGTGGTTAAACTACATTCTAGAACTAACGCTGTTTGCTATCAGCTTTGTTAGATTCTGAAGAAGATCAAACAAGTTAGCAAATGAAGCTTCTATCATGTATAAACATCTAGGATATTAATATAATCGATAGAAGTTCATACGCCAACAGGCTCGGTCTATATTTAATCCAAAGATTACTTTTTGATTTAAGATATTTAAATTAATAACAAAAGTGTATTTATTAACCAGAAGACTTAAGGGAATCTTTGCTTATTCAATAACCAAATATACACCATTCTGTGTTTCATTTCAAAGAAGAGTCGGGTTTAAAAAGTTAAGAATTTATTACTAACAAGTTTGAAAATGACAATTTGTAACAGCTTGATATTAAACTTGGCATTAAAAGCTTTACCTGTGTCTGAATGAAAAGCTAAAATGAAATGCGAGGTTTGGAGGCGTGGGTGATATCTCAGAAGATTGCTTTCAGAGAGAGAAACGCGTTCTGGGTGAAAAATATTGTTTTGCAGCTAACTTATGGTTTCTTAGAGAGAACAGCATCAGACGCCATCTGTCGGGAAGTGTCTACCTCACCCAGTTCAGGAGACCCTCTGTGGATCCGAGATGTCAGGTGGAGATGGTTTCCTCCTGAGGTTGGTAGAAGGACCTTAGTGCGACTCAAATCGGTCCTGAGATGTCTCCGGGTCACAACGACTGATGAAACTATTTGCGTCTCAAAATCAATAACTCTGAAGGAGTTTTTGCGTCAGCTGGTTACAGGTGCGTTTATTCGGAGCGATTCTATCGGCGTGACAGAACGCTTAGTGAGGAGTCAGGCGGCCGTCCCTCGTCCTCTGGTTGGTTCAAGAACTGAACTTGAGCTGCGGAGAGTTTAGTTATAACAAAACCTCAGAACACGCCCTCTCAGCATCAGAAAGCTTTTTGTTATGGAGCAAAGACGTGAGAGCAAGTTAACTTTTACCCTGACCTTCTGGTTACTGATCACACATTACTGATTATCATAAATAATAATTATTATTAACCCAAAGAATAAGTCATTTCAGTAATTAAATACATTTATACTGAACCATGATGATTATTTATATGACTGTAATAAACAGTAAAAACAGTTTATTAAAATTATTATTTTAAAATCTTGAAGCGTCCTTCATCTTGGGACGGAACAGCAGACAGATGAAAGATGATGTTTAGCAGACTGCACGGCTCCTGTGATGGATAATCTGTGGAACAAAAGTTACAGCTTGACCCAGCTGGGGAAGTGTCACCTTTGGGTCACAAATATGAGGCCATTCATGTCGCTACACCTGACTGTTGCTGCTGACCATGTCCATCCCTTCATGACCACAGTGGAACCATCTTCTGATGACTGCTTCCTGCATGATGACGTATCTCGTCACAAAGCTCAGATCATCGCTGGACTCCAGCGGCCTTAGATCTCAGCCCAGTCGAGCACCTTTGGGATGTGGTGGACCAGGAGGTTCTCACAGAGGGAGCTGATGCTGTCATGTTGGTTTGGACCAGAACCTCTGAGGACAGTTTCCAGCCCCTTCGTGGAGCTACGAGACCAAGAATTAAATTTGTTGTAAAGGAAAAAGGGGGTCCAACCTGGCTCTAGCAGAGTGCACCTGTTAAAGGTTCTTGAACCAGTTTGTTAAAACAGCTCAAAGCAAAATGGTAAAGAAACAGACTTCTAAGTGCTTAAAGGGCATCTGCAATTCTCCAGATGCTGTCAATATCTAATTGCCTACTTTAAATCAAAGGCTTTAACTGTTCAAGCTGGTCTCCATGTCTCGTGCGTGATATGTGATATTATCTTAGAGGTGTCATTTAAGAACTCATGTTATCACACTGGAGCATCTTTGTCGAAAACACAAGGAACATAAAAGAGAACAGGGAAAGAGACAGGAAAATAAAACAAAGCAAACCCCCGTCAGGTGTTTTATTTCTGCTGGAGAGTCAGCAGCAGGAGCAGAGGGCTTAACGTATATTTTATTAGCTAAAGGGAACTAAATGTAAACCATTATAGCACAGAAACTAGAATAAAAACAGTTATTATGAATTCTCCAGCTTTGTCCGTTGACTTATGTTTGTTCTCCATCATGGACCACATCTTTTCACCTCCCGCCATGTTTTCGACTTGTCCTTATCGTCAGCAAAGGCAGGAAAACATCATGCTAAAGTTGCACATACGCGCAGTGAGCATTCATTTACTCCAACACTCCGAACGGGTGTGCACATAGACGTCAGTAGGAATGATGATCCGGCAAAACCACCTCTCTCAATCAGAATGAAATTTTATTCCGATCGGGCCGTATCGGATCAGAATATTCCGACTGACATGTTTTCATGAAGAATTTTTGATCTGACAGGGCATTCATTCTGATTACTTGTGACCATGTAAACGTAGCTACTGAGGGCAGCCAGTGAGGTGGGACAGGTAATAAAAACTCATCAGTCCAATGTTTTACAGTAGCTGCGTTTTCATGTGCCTAATTTCCTCAATCCGATTGAAATCTTGGTTGATCGGAATTTCCGAATCTCTGTTCACATGGACACGAACTTAAATGATCCGATCATGCCGTGCGTACATATGCACCAAGCATTTAATCCGATTAAATAGGTTGAGCATGCGCAGAGTTGCCTTTCACGAAAGAAAAATTGTAAACAAACGCCATGAAACGAAAAGAAAAATGTAAAAACAGAAGTAACTATTCTTCCTGCTTTCCTGATCCATTTATTCAATTTAATATTTTTATTTAGCTCATAGAAGTTACGTTTTCTTCAGTGAATAACTGCAGATATATGCTTTGCTGCATTTTATTGTTGATTAAAATAAGGGAGGGTTATGTCTGCCTCTTGATCAGCTGGTCTGCGGGTCTGAATTGACAGCTGTTGCGCTGCGCTGCGCCACAGAGCGGGGGTGGGGGGTGGGGGGGGGTTAGCCTCGTGTTTTATTACTGAGCTCTGTTGTGGCTTATTATTAATAACATGTGACGATCAGCTGAAACTGTTGAGAAAAATCTGTTCAAACAAAATAACAGAAGATGTTCAGAAAGTTTAGAAGCCTGTGTTCATCATTAACGAACCGCATCTCAGGTCATCTGCGTTTACGTGCTTTTAACGAACACGGACTTTACTGTCGTCCAGAGTATTTAACCGAGGACGTTTTCCTACCCAACATCAGACTCCAGTCAGGTCTGTAAAACCCAGATTATCCTGTGTTCTTTACAAGCACGTCTCCATCACCTGCTGCAGAAGCTGCTGTGTTCAAAGCTGACAGAAACGGGGATCCGTGCGCTGCAACCCCCACGATAAACCCGCGTATTTCCAGTAAAGATTTGAACATCTTTGTCGAATGATTTGTGCAATAATCAGATT